GGCGTTTGGGGCAGCTCTGCCCTCTCTGTGTTGGGGGAACCAGCCCCAGTGGTCACCGATGGACACCCCCAGCCCGAGCTGCTCTGTCCTCTTTTGGAAACGGGCCACTACAGGGAAAGTGAGATGTAACCCCAGGAAGCAACATCAAAGCACTCTGCCGCTATCCGTGCTGGGATTTCCAGGCAGCTGGAAGCAGAGGTCCATTTTGCCAGCATTAATTTCCCCACATGTAGAAGTAAATCTGTGCCAGTTGACTTTTGATCACTGACTCATCATTTCCGAAATGTCAATCAGCTTAACTTAGAGATTGAGGGATTTACCTCTTGGGACACTGAAATGGCCTTAAGCACATACCAAACTGTTTCAAAGAGGCTATTCACCCTCTTATATTAATTTGCATTTTCCCAGACTTTTTCTTCATTCTTGCTGAATCCAGACCCAAGAAGTGAGAATATGCTAGCACTGCACAATTGAGGGAGTAATGTATCCCACTCAAACAAGAACAGCCATAATGTAAAATAACACTCAGATGGCTATGCTCACACCGGCATTGTGCTCACAAGCTATGGCAAACCTTCTGAGATGACATCCTGTGGTTGCACTCTGGCGAGCTCTCCCAGAAAACGGGAAAAGCACTTGCCTGTTCTTCATGTTCCTAATTTCGGGGGTAGCAGGAGGGCCATGGTAAGTTGCCCATGCTAAGGTGCAGTGAGGTTGCGCTGCCCTCGGCCATGGGACTGGTCATGCTCACCCTTCTTCTCAGCCTGACCACTGGCACCTTTGAGGTATCAGCTGAGGTTCCTTCAAGCACTGTCCTCTTTGTCTTGACAAAGACTGTTGTGGTGTACAAAGGAGCTTTTAGTCCCATTTTGTAACTCGAGAACTGACTCACACAGTGACTAGCTGTTACTTGAGATCACACAGGAAGCCTGACACAGTGTGTGGGGTCAGGACTCAGAAACAAGCCTTTAACGCCCGCCCGAGGTGCTCCCCTGGCTGCAGGTCGACCTCCCTCCTGCTTTAGACTCCCCTTCCAGGTGGGCCAGACAACTCCTCCTGAGTGGCAGCTCAGTATCTTCTGTCCACCCAAACTAGCAGCGATGCCCAGGTTGTAATTCAAGGCAACCTCTCCATCGAGACTGAGAGCCCACTCTGAGAGAAGACTCTGGCAGAGTATTTCCTATGGTCTTAGAGGCATGAATTTGGACAACAGATGAAATCTCTCCCACCTCTGAAAACTTTAACTCTTTAAAGTGCCCCAAGTTGGATGCCCAGTGTTGACAGGCCTCCAAGGACATTGTTTTGTAGAGGGGACAAGTTCTGTGAGATACCTGAGGAAACTCACAGAAAAGCTGAGCCCTTGCTCCTTCTCACTATCTATAATGTTTCCAAATGTGACTAATAATTTCAAGGATCTTAATTTTTCACCATATAAATTCAATGAAAAAAAAAATCTGCTGACGGGATATCTAATGGTATGTTTTAGCCCCACAGATGCTCATGACTGGTGGCCTTGGCTGAGCTTTTGAGGAGCAATTCTTCCCCCATGAATAAACAAAATGGCTTAAGAACAAGAATTCTTTTGTTCAAAGCATATATCAGAAACCAAGACTAGCAACACCAGCCAATCTGCTGAGACTCACCATATGCCAAAAACAGGTTCTTGCTCATGCCAAGTCAGAGAGCATGCTCCTGCCCACAGGGGTGCT